CCCCTGCCTGTCTTTGCCTAGGGCCCCATATTTCCTAAATCCGCCCCTGGCTACACTGATCTTTTATCTCTGCCTGATGTTAACATTTAAACCTTAGTCAGCCACAGACTGAGCCTTTTCTCCTGACAAACATGGTAGACCAATGTAATGTTGATCAACTACCAGAAACGAAATGAGAAAGAAATCCAGGATTTTTTAGGAATTTCTTTGTAAACTAATGTGGAAAATAACAAAAGTTCAACTCTATTGCTCTAATTTGAAACATAACATTTGTCTGCAACGATAAATAGACCATTTCCAGCTCATAACATCAGTGGGGCTGTTTACACGAATAAAATGGGAATTTCACACCAGATGCTACAGAAACGCTCTGCATATAACAGCAACTTTGGCTACATCAGTAATTTAACCACTTAGATTTCAATCAATCAATCAATGAATCAATCAATCAATCAATCAATCAATCAATCAATCAATCAATCAATTTCGGAGCAGCTCTGGGCCCTTCCTCTATAACATCCAGGGGAGATTAGATAAAGGGGGGGGGAGGCCGAATCCAAAATAAACTTATTGTTTTGAGAGCAGGCTGCACAGGAATTTTCCGTCATCTTTGAGTTTTTTTCTTGCTGGTTCCTCATTGTGAATCCAATATTCCAGATGTGTTGGGCTTTTCCACCTTGAAGCGAGCAAACACATCCAAGATATCATCCCATCCCACCTTTGCGTTCACCCCCAGCAGCCAGCCTGCGTTCCTCCCACCCAGTATACGGCTCAGCTCCCGCTCCTGCTCGTTCACAGCCTTTGTGCCGGCAGCCTGATCGATGCCCAAATTGCGGCTGAAATCATCTGTAATTGAAGATACATCAGATATCCTCCAAATCCAAACAGGAGAAATCTGAATATCATAAATCCAAACATCCATACGTCTTCCACATCCTCCACTGACAGCCCCGCCAGGACAGGAAGGCTCCTCTTTTCTCCGTCTTCCAGTTGATAATTTGATCAATTGAGAGACCAGCTGACCAGACCATTGGTTTGACTTCAGGTGATATGAAGAGAGAGCTCAGAAACGACACGACATGGCAAAGCAGGGACAGAGCAGGGAGGAAAATCAGAGAGCAGAACAGAAGATATGAGTAAGTTAAGAATTTACCAGGAATATTTGCAATGTTTTGATGTGAATGGAGATTCTTCTGGAATCCACCTCAGCGTCCGTCTTCCTCCAAACAGGAGGAGTTGGGTCGGTGCCTAAAGACTCTACTTTGCTTTAATCACATGATATTTCACAGATCCTCTTCTGGAT